ATTGCGTGGACCCTTGACTACAAGTGTGTGAAATTTTTTTTGGATCGGGCCACCCATTTGGACGGAATAGCCCGAAATAGTTGTGAGCGGTGCTAAACCCCCAAGTATACATACTCCAACTCCAAGTATACATACCTATGTAGATTTAGTTCGTAACGGTTCCGTAGACCCCACGATACTTGAAATGACATGAAAATTTGCCTTTGCTTTTATTTGTTCAATGTAATATAAATAAAGCAACAAACTCATTGAAAAGCGAAACCAATTCCTACTGTAGGTGTCATTAATCAATTACTTAAGTAATTAAAAGAACACCAATATGCTATATTTACTATTTATAATTTTGTCTTAAACACATATTTTAACTTTAACTTATTTTTTCGATTAGTCCTATTTTCGTTTTAGCAAAATTTACATTCAATAAATATCCGCGCGTAACAGACTTCTTCTATCGCTAATCGTTCCGTTTTGCTGCGGGTATTTTATTACAATTACCTAAAAAGTGCTTCCAAATTATTCAGGCATAACAGCGCCACCTGGCGCGAATTCATATTGTATTTGTTCCGTGCTTTCACCCTGTACTTCCGCTAGTGCATTCCAATGAATCACAGTTTCCAGTAGTGCATTCCAATGAATTCAACGAATGACACTTGAAAACAAGTGAAGAGATGTGTGTATGTGGAAAATCGACATCAGCAAAAACTTTCCAAGCGATTTGCTAATGGATTTCGTGAATGGATTTTCGCTGCAGTGAAATATTCGAAGAGTTAAAAAGTGTATTTACTATTTACTAGCTAGTGTTGGAAGGAAGGAAGGCGTGGTGGACGTTACAGATTTTCATTAAATCGATGAGTACTACACGTAGTCCTAGTGATTGGGGAATTTCCAAGAAATCTCATCTTCCAGTGAGCTTTATCAGAATCACTTATTTATATATAGATAAAAATTAAATAAAATACAAGAAGCATCAGTAGCGCTAATCGTTGAAACGCGGTGGAGCAGCTGAAGCAGCACCAGCCGCAAAGGCAGGAACGACTTTTTTATAAAAGGCATCGATCAAAGATTATGGATCACAAGAAATCTCCTGTAAGAAGACAGAAGCGACAATCGAAAGCGATCGAGGAAAATTTCTGGGACTGCAGCGTCTGTACGTACAGAAATACAGCTGAGGCATTTAAATGCCGAATGTGCGACGTGCGGAAAGGTGAGTGACCCCAATACGAGTACGAACCATATGTAGGTATTTTGTGTAAATCCCATTGTGCATGTGTATATGCATAATATGTGTACTATATATGCCGCCAGTAAACGGAGCCGCAACCATCACATGCGCCTACAGAACGATTGTCTAATAAATAATACCCGAACACTTGACACCTTACTGCATTGTTAGCTTCAAAATTGCAGCGCAGTTAATATTATTTGTAGAAGATATTTACAAAAACGCACTCCTATATACATTTGTATAAATATTTAAACTTATGGTAGGAACGAGTGCACGTACTTATGGTAGGAACGAGAGGTGCGCAACAAAACTTTGTAATGAGGCTGAGGCCAAACGTTGCGTTGATATGTAGGCAGCAGCAGCGCAATTGGCGCAGTGGCAGGCGGTGGCAAGAAATACATACATTCAGCAGATTTTATTACTGTATGGGAATGAGGTTGTGCACACGTATATCAACTGGGTCGACTGCGCTGTTGCTGACGCCAGCGCGTTGTAGAGCATGAAATATAAACGATTAGCCAAGGAAAAGGTGGGACAATGATTGAAATAAATTTAGGCTGAGTGTGCATTATCTACAATTGGCGTCAGATTGCACAACCGCCATTGACGTTACTCTGCCGAACCTCTGGCATATTCACATTTGATTATGCAGCCATATATTCAAATTAAAGTGCTCCTACATGCGCTCTTGCTTTTATTGCATTCCCATTCTATATTTACTTCACATACACAGAAATGTACATATATACAGTACGTCCTCGGTAAAAGCAGCACTCAATTAATGCAATACTTCGAGCAACACCCAAATGCTTATCATTGTTGACACACTTAAATCTGAACTTTTTGTGATTTGATTATTGCCACAACTTCAATCAACACAACTGCCCGAATTTTTACCGGTTGCTTTTACCAAGAGCGTACTGTAGTACGTATGTGTATTTATTGTTTGATATACGGTTGCTGCTGCTATCAACTCTTTATTTCTTCATTTACATATCTGCTTTTACTTGGCTATTCTGCCTCATCATTTTATATTTTTATATTTTTTTTATACGCTTGTTAGGTATACGATACATAGCCTCGTACATATCTATTTGGCATTGTTGATGCCATTGGAGGAAGAATAAGCGCAAAACGTAAATAACCACTTCCAAGAAGATAAGAAACAAAAGATAATCATAGCAAAAACATGGATTTTTTACACATGCAACTATGTTGATCGTAGCGAGAATATGGCTTTTGTTAGTCGCTTACCCAATTCTGATATTTGTTTGTTTTTAACATGCCAAACTTTGAAAGCTAAAGAATTAATCTATGCTATTAAAAAAAAAAAATATAATCATTCTTATATGAATCTACTTCAATAGGGATATAACTCAAAAAAGCAAAACTCAAGAAAAACGGCTTTAAAATTTTAAATTTTCGTACATAAATATATTCCCATATTAAAAATGCATACATTTTTTGTTCTAGTGAGATACTAGTAATCGATACAGCTATGAAATTTGTACACAACATAGAAGAAAAGGTCCATAGCATTACCCACTCAAAAATTTTTTAGTATCATTCATATTTGCGATTGCAGTCTGGTGCCAAGAATTCGCTGAAATTGATTAAATACACAGGCCTGCGAAATATAAATTTTGTTTGCCCCTCCAATAATTATGTTAATTTTTTGAATATCTAGTTTTATAAATTAAAATGCATCTATAGTTTTTTTCTAACACGTCGAAGTGTTTTTGTATTGATGGATATTTTACACGAGAATCCAAAAATTAATTATTTTACAATTTAATTTTTACTAAAAAACCCAACAACATAAGTTAAAAATACCCACAAATACTTTGACCAAAATTTCTAACTTCTTAATCAGCATCTTTTGGTATGCAGTTTTGTAGCCCATTTAATTTTAGTAGAATAAAGTGAAAATTTCGAGTAGCTAGGACCTACCGTTGATTTTTGGCAATTTTTTGTTGATGGAGTTCCGCATTTTTCCCCTAAAAAAGTATGTGTTCAAATGTTGGCCTGTAAACAATTTTTAAATTCAGACTATAAGTACTCATTCTTCTTTGCAGGAACCTCCACACGTAAGCCACGCTTAAATTCAGCTCTCGTCGCACAACAAGCTGCCACCTTGCCAGGCGCATCAGGCACCATGCCAAACGGCACAAAATCTGCATCAGGCTCACGACATGGAGCGGGACATGAGAAGAGCAAACACAAAAAGTATCCAGCTCGTTTGAAGAATGTCGATCGTTCGACAGCTCAAACGCGTGAAGTCACTGTGAATTCGGTGACAGTGTTCATTACAGAATATAAACCCAAGCCTGTGGGCAGCCGAAGGGAATCCAGTGAACAGAGTTTTAGCGAAAGCAATGATTCACGGAGTTAAATTTGTGAAGTACATACATATGTACATAAATGCAAATGTATGGGCTAACTATGAAATATGGCAAAAATTTAATTCAAATAGTAAAGATATTATTGTATTTTATTAGATAAGTTTATAAAAACATTGGATACAGTAAATGTAATTAGGCAAAATACAATTTTAGCTAACCAAGGAGACGAATAATTAATATATATGTAATAACTGCAAATAGGTTTTTTTTGCAAATACGTTTGAAAATGACAGTTTGCCGGGGACTACATATTACTCACTATTGGAACGTGCCGTCAAGTCGGAGTATTGTAATATATTTTTTATTTTTTTGTACACCAATAATTTTCAGTTCTGATCTTGCAGCGTGCAAATAAGGGAATCTTATTTTTGATTTAGCACAGCCTAATAGGAGAGGGCTAACACCTCATAAGAATCGCAAAATACTGTGCAACAACACTGCCTTCAGTTTTCAGACTAGACATTATATAGCCAGGAATTTTTACATTCATAAAGCATATAAATAAAATACATAAACATATTGCAAATAAGTGCACAGAACAAAACAAAGCATAAATAAGTGACCAGCAACTCATGTTGCGCTCCACAAATTCAAAACAATAGACGATTCCTCACCGGCTGAACCCGATAAATTCTGCTACTGCGACCACATACATTTTAAGAGCACGTAATTCTTTATATGGTTGAGGTTTCAAGTGGGTTGCATGATATTCTGTAAAAAAAAAACTACTATACTTTGTTAAATCCTTAAACGATATGTATTTGCATCTGTAAACGCTAATTTTCCGGTACATATGTACATACATATATAATGTCAGATGAAATTAGAAAAACAGAAGCAAATCAATTTTATCTTTAGACGATATGTTTTCGATTTTTATACATATCTGTAAAAAGTAACGTTTACACATGCAAATACATAGCAATTTTAGCAGTTTTAAATTAATTCTTGTAAAGTTAGGCTTACAGTTTATAAAAAAACAAAATCCTGTAGAAAAGCTAGTATTCCACATGTATAAGTTTATTTTGTATTGAGTTCATAATAATTCATACAAAAATATGTGTAAATTTTCTGTATAAGTGTACTATCAATTATTTAATACTAAGTTGTTAAAGCGAAACAAAACAGTTATCACAATCCCTGTGCATATTTGTAAAGCTATTGTAAATAATGTAAGCTAAACTAGATTTATTTTGTTTGAATTTAAGAAATATCTAATTAGTGTTGAATATGGAAAATAATTCATCTGTGCTACTTATTGGTTGGAAGCATGTTTTTTTATAATACTATTTCATCTGTAAAACACTACAAATTAGTCATAAAAAGTATGTAAACCCCTTCTTTACGTCATCAGAAAGGTTTCTATGCTTATCTCTCCGAATAACAACGTTAAATATCCTTTCTGAAAATACGTAGAGCCGCACTAAATTCATCACTTCTTCAAAATTATGTTAACGCTATTCTTTAAGAATTCTGAGCAAAAAATTATGTAATATAGAAGTAGAAAATGTATTTCACTGTAACACTTGTACTTCACATACAATATATTAAAAAAAATCTTCAAAATGTTGGTCATTTGATCCAAACAAAAATGCCGGATGAAAATTTATTGGGCGATACGCTATGAATAAAAATTACTATAGTTGAATATTTCTCCTGCAATAATTTCGACGAATATCTTATATACATAAAGTAAACATTCATTCATAATAACTTCAGAAAATGTTAAATTTTTTATGGCTGTCTTAAACACATTTATGCAAAGCATCAGTCTCTTTTTTGTTTCCAATTCATGTCTTATATCTAATGTTGAATAAAGTTGCGCAAATTTGATACTTTCGTTCTCTGTGGATCAGAAATAAAAGCGACTGAAAGCAATTACATTACAAAAACATGATAATTTTCTTTTAACAAAAAAGACTGATTATTCATATGAAATACAAATGAAAATATTAAGTTTTTGTTTTAAGACATTGTTATGTAACTCAAGCACGTCAGTGTGTTATTTTTAAATCCCATTTTCACTATTTTGTTTTTTGGCAATTATTGAATTTATAAAATTTGCGTAGATAAGCAATTTTTCAAATTTTGTATTGTATTAAGAAAATTAGTATTATTATTTTGGCACAGTGATTGCAAAGCTAATACATGTTAATTATATTTTTGAAATATACTATATTTACTTTTTTTTTCAACTTAATATTTGTAATCTAATGATTATCTCCTTAAATGAGCGTTTAGTTAATGGCGACTAATTTAAATATATTTTTTTCAATTAGTTAATAATTTGTTTTAAAGTGAAAAAATTGGATGTACATACATACATGTAGTGCATACATACATACCTTAAGCAATTCGTTTGCTTAGTTTGTGTGACAAAATTTCGAAATAACGATTACTTCGTACTAACAACAGTGGCGTCAAGCGAAACGTAACTCTTTTAAACTAACATAACTATGTATTATGCAATATTTAAGTGCTGCACTTTTTTAAAATTGTAAGAAAAACCTTCGAATGTATGTACCTAATTGTTGCCCGCTTTTTCTTTAAATTTCAAAGAAATTTGTTCGAGTAGCTTTGCGACGCAAGTAAATTATGGGCGAAGTGATCTTCAGACATTTTTCAATAGAAAATTATAATGTGGCGCTACAATTAACTTAAGTTTTTTGTAAATTATTTGGGTGATTCCATTAAACTCGAAGAAATTGCCAAATGTGAAACTTGACATAGAAATTTTGGCAGTGCAATATATTGATGCTTTTTCTAGTTTAAGGGAAAACTCCTATTACTTTTTGCTATACGCTCAGAAAAAATTAAAATTGATTTTGTTTAAATTATGTTCTTTAGTGAATAATCTTAGTTTAATTTCGTGCTCCCTTAGCAGAAAAGAAATACACTCCATAAACACAACGAACAAGCGCCGTTACCGATGGTGTGAAGAAATAGTGAACTTTTTTACAATCCCGCACGCATGCACCTACATAGGTATTTGTGTTTTTTAAATGCATTTATGTAGATGCATGTGTGCGTGTTATAGAAATTTTTGTATTGACATTTTTCTAATAAAAATTTTGCCTTTTCAAATATAGCATTAAGTTTTGTAAAACAATAAAATCAACATTTTGTATCAAACCGATATTAAAGCCTACACACTGACTGTGTGTGTGTATGATAAGTAATAGTATAATACCAACCAAAATAAATATTATATAAATTACAATAGACAGCAAAGGCAATGGTAAAATTGCAGATTTCAACACATAATATACATACTTTAATACAAATGATTTAAAAATGTAGAGGCCTAAACATGAGCTTTGGTCCTATGCCAACTATTTATTACATATGTAGAAAATTCTCAATTTCTTCTAAACTGTAACTCAGATTTCTTAAACGCCGCCATCGAAAGAGTTCAGCTACTCATGTATTTGTCACTTAATGCTAAATATAAAATACATCTTTCTCTTACATACATACATACATATTTAAACATAAACTGTTCAAATCACATCTATTGGCAATTGTCCTTCGCACTCGCACATTTCTCTTGGTGAAATTTAGGCAGACAGGAAAATAAATTTTCGCAGGCGTTAACAAAAAAAAATACAATTTATATATAAAAATACAGTTAGTAAACAAATTTAGTTTTTATGAAATCAGAAAAAAAAATTTAATAGAACAAAAACTTTTGCAACTAGCTCAAATTCATTGTACACATTTGTGGTGGTAATTGACATAATTTGAGTTGTTCATTTTGACATCATTATACTTTTAAGTTAGCATTAATATAATTAATACAACCAACAGTTGCTGAAAGAAAATGATTCCGGCATTTACACCATAATTTCATAATATACATATATGTATATATGTATGTGCATACATATACATATGTATATATACATAAATAAATATGAATTAACTATTAAAAGGGTTTTAGGCGTTAGAAAAGCGAGACACAGAAATAGTAAGTAAATTTAGTTTCTAAAATTAATAAAGCAAATTATTGTATCATACATATAAAATTCAATAAGTTATGCGAATTGTAATTATGATTTTAAAAATGAATTCATAATATAACTATACATACATAAGTAAATATTAATAAAAAAAAATATAAATATATAATCATGTCTTCTTTTCATTCAGCATTTGCACGTTTTTTTGTTGTGATTTTGTCAGTGTATGTCAACTGCGTTTGAAGGCGCCGTAGCATTCATTTTATGCAATATTTTTTTCTTTAATTACTCAATTTCAAAATTTTTTTCTTATTAAACTTTGAAATAAATGTCAGAAAAATACAATGTGCAAATATTTTCGCTATACACTTGTATTCTGGTAAAAATAGCAAGCGAATTGAAAGTTCGAAAAACGATTGTGAAAAGTTTTCAAAACCGCGCTCAGTGTGCATACAAAAAAATTGCTCGAGAACTAAAAATAAGCCCTAAAACTGTATCAAGATAGGGATGGGTAGTGGGGGGGTTGAAACACGATTTTTTCCGAATTTCGAACATTGCCCAACCATTCGATTATTCGATTCGAAATTTGGTGGTGCAAATTCGATTTAATTCGAATTTTTTCGAATTTTTCAAAATTATTTTTAATTGAAACTTCTTAATCGAGTTCGGAGATGTTTGCGTTAAATATTTAACACCAAGTCATAAAATCTGTATCGTTCGTTCAATTAAAAAAAATTAGGTGTCAAATTAAAGGCTTGTGCCTTGGGTCTGCAACATAGTTTTAGTTCTATGAAAAGGGTTCCACAGGTTAGAAAATCAAATTCAAATAATCGCTTCCGCAGATGTTTGCGTTAAATATTTAACACCAAGTCATTAAATGTGTATATTTCCTTTGATTTTCAAAAAGGAGATAGGTGTCAAACGAAAGGGCTTGCCCTGTAGATGTGTAATGATTGATCAATCGAAATGGTTTTGAATAAACTTTATTTTTTAATTACATATAGGAGGGGTGCCACCTGTTTGAAAAGTCGAATTCAGTTAAAGAAGTGTTGTGCTTAAAATACTATGCAACAATTAAAATATTTTTGAGGTGATTGGAGAGAGTGGCCACCTGTCTAAAAAGTTAAACTCAAATTACACTGTGGGACAGCCGAAACCAACCCGGACTTTGTTTTACATTTTCTGAAAGTATACCAATCCAGTAATAAAACACTCGGTGGATTTGCAAAAGTTAGCTCGTATTTTTATTTAATGGCCTACTAAAGTTTTCGTGTCTCGGCGTAAGTAGTTTTCAAAAAAGTGGAAAAAATAATTAAAATAAAGGTCTGAGCGAAATTAAAGGTTAAGACATATATGAAAAAATTTCATGGGAAATATTTTCGTACAAATTTTAACCCATTAGTCCCCGCCTAAAAGGATCATTTTGACCCTTACTTCAAGAAATCCAGCGAAAAGCAAATTTGGAAAGTCGTTAGAGGATTGATATATTTACTAGGGGTCTTTTCAGGCAAAGGCTTTATGCCACCAACGCAAAAGCCTCTAAACATTTAAAATAAAAAATCAACAAAAAAAAAAACGGTTTATTGCAAAAAATTTCCTAAATTTGAGTTCGGAATAACAGTTCCTTCTTGGTACAGATTTTTTGTCCCGATGCATCAGATTGAAAAATAATAAGACAAATTTAGTCAGAAAGATGAAAGTTGAAGAGTTGATTTTTTTGGAAATAAAGGTGAGACTCGAAAGTTCGATTCCAAAAATTCGCCATTTTAGAGCTATAATTCGATTAAAATTCGAATATCGAAGCTTCGAATATCGAATTTACCCATCCCTATATCAAGAGTGCTGAAGAACTCGTAAGGAGGGCATAGGTGCTACTTGGAAGTCAGGTTCAGGTAGAGCAAGGATGTGGCCAAAACAAGAAACACCATCACCATTTTCCAGAAGAACCCCAACATATCGGGCAGACAACTGGCGCAGAAGGTGCAATAATGCGAGTTTTTTGTATGCAAAGCAAAAAAGGATTCTTTATGCCGGGCAGAAATACCGTGAAGAACCAAGAGGCAAAACAGCGTGCCAAACAACTAAAAACAGACAGCCGGTTCTACGTACCGGAATGACTCGGGTTTTACCCGACCAA